TGAAGCTAAGTATATTCTAAAACCTATTGGTTAGGTTATAGGTTTAAAAAAAAAAGTCTTTATAAATGGCATCTTGCTATACTGAAGCAGCTTGTATATTTTGCTGAATATTATTTGTGTCTTCCCTTCCTGTTGGGACTCACAGCTAAAGTTCATTTATCTTAACAGTTGTATGCTTTTCCATAATATAAATACACTATAGTTGTGCATCCATTTTTACTGTTGTTTTCAGTATTTTTTGTTCTCAAGAACAGTGCTAGAGTGAATGTTTTGCTCATGTCTTCTGATTAATATGAGCAAAAGGTAACAACAGCAGGAATCTGTGATTTTTTTTTTTTTTTTTTTTAGAAATCTATTTATTTTAAAGAGAGAGAAAGTGTACAAGCAGGGGGTGGGTTGAGGAGAGGGAGAATCCTGAAGCAGGCTCCCTGCTGAACTGAGCTTGGAGCTTGATATGGGGCTCGATGCCTGCACCCTGAGATCATGACCTGAGCAGAAACCGAGAGCTGGGTGCTCAGCCAACTGAGCCACCCAGGTGCCCCAGGAAGCTGTGACCTTTTTGACCAGAGCTACTCCCAACCTCCCTGCCAACCCCAACCTGAGAAGGGCAGCAGAAACCAGTTTGGCTGCCAGAGGCGGTAGGCTCAGAGTGCTATAGCAGCAGAGGGCAAAACCCCCTGGTTTCTACAACATAAAGCGGTGGGTTTAATTTAGAAAAAATGGGGGGGGAAACTCACAGCTTTGCAAGCCTGAGCCTGCAGTCCAAGTTTGGGTAACTGGTAGATGAGCAGCATTTCACAGAAAAATCCTAGCAACTGGAGAGCTGTGGAAGGTCTGAGATACCTTTCCACATATCTCTGGCTGACCAGGAGCTATGCATGCCTGGAGGAGACTTTGGTAAAGTCTTCCTGCACTAGCTTGATTTTTGAAAGTGATGTTAAAAAGCAGTTGTCCTTGAGGCACCTGGGTGGCTCAGTCATTAAGCGGTTGCCTTCAGCTCAGGTGAACCCAGGGTCCTGGTATCGGGTCCCCCATTGGGCTCCTTGCTCAGCAGGGAGTCTGCTTCTCCCCCTTCTTTCCCCCCTGCCCATGTTTGCTCTCTCTTTGTCAAATAAATAAAGAAAATCTTAAAAAAAAAAGCAGTTATCCTCATATTCTTGGATTTCAAGGATATATTTTAAATTTTAATTATTAACGATAAAGTCTGTATTTTAGAAGATTTTTAAAATATCAGACACAAAGTTTTTAAAGGTTTTGTATTATTTCGTGGAAGGGTGAAATTCACTATTATCTACTATTGATTATGCATATAAAATTTTCTAGTTAATCATAAAAATGAAAGGAGTAAAGAGTAAATATTTCAAACCATCAAGGAAATGAATTGCAATGGAAAAAAGAAACATCTCAAGCAGTAAAAATGATGGCAAGAAAAGTAGGAAAATGGAAATAGTAGATTAAGAAGGTTCCTTTAATTTTAATAATTTTTATCATGAATAGATACTGAATTTTCTTGAATATTCTTTCTGTATCTTTTGTGAGCTTAGGTTTTTATCCTTTGATCCTTAATATGGTAAGTTGCATTAACATAATTTTTAAATGTAGAATCAAATTTGCATTTCTGCTGTAAACCCAGTGTGGTGGCCAATTTAGTCTGCAAACCCAGGACTCCAGCAAAGGTAAACAGATACCTTCCAGAGAGATTCTAGCTCCAAAGTTTCTTAATCTCTCTGAATTTGTTTGATCTTTATGGACATGTTCTGAACAAATCAGCTTTCCTCCCTCCCTCCCTCCCCCACCTTCCTTCCTTCTTTCCTTTTTTTTTTGAAAGCAATATACTTTTTATCATTTGTTACAAGCAAGGAGAGAAGGAGATAGTTCTAGAAGCATTATCTCTGTCAGTTTCTTATAGGCAATATTTTACCCTGCACTTTTAGTTGTTTTTACCATGAGATATTTCTCTAAGTTTATCTAGTTCACCACTGCATTGGAAATAGAAACCAAACATACAATGTTATAAATAAAATAAATTTGGCAGTAGTTGTTTATTCAAAATGTGTGTACTCTACACAACTACCCCTTGGAAATTATATTATCAAAATGATCTATGGTTTTAATTTCCTAAAGCCAGGCTGCTTGTGTTCAAATCTTGGTTCTACCTTTTCCAATGATAGGACTCAGATATTATTGCTTAATTCTAGAAACGTACATTGAGAAATTTACAGACATCTAAAGTTTATTGTCCCTGTGCAACAAAATCTTCAAAAAAGCACAGTGCCAGAAAGTTCATTAGGAAGGGAGGAATCACAGTCCCTAAGCCAATTCTGGCAGTTTTCCTTCACTGGTTTATGACAAATAGGTTCTAGGTGATAGGTTGATGTTCTGGGTTTATTGTTATTTATTTTAGTTAAATTTTTCTTGGAATAGAATGTGTTTTGGTCAGTTGGATTCTTGGGTTCACTGAAGATGAATACTTCCAGTCAGTTTTTTCAGAATTTTTTGAAAGGGTCTAATAGGAAGTGCTAGTGTGCAGTGGGAAAAGCATTGGGTAAAAAATCAGAACAGTTTTGACTCTAGCGCTTAGAAGCTGTGCGATCTTTAATTTCCCTGAGTATAAAATGAGGGTAATCATTTCTAGTTAGGAAGGTTGTTGCAGGAGGAGATTTGATAATCCATGTAAATGCCTGGCACACGGGAGGGATTTCAGAAGTTTTGCTTCCCTCATCTCTTCCTTCCATCACTGAAAATATAATATCTATTTGTTTTCTTTTCTGAATAGATACATTCAACGTGGAGTTTACGTATTCATTTATTCATTCATTCAAGACTAAATAACTTTAAAGCATCTACACTATGCCAGGGACACGCTCTCTATGAGAAAATGATGATGATAAGATACATAACGTTTCTGTTTTCAAAGAGCTTATATCTTATAGTGCTTCAGGGTCAATATGTTGAGTATAATCTGTCCCCAGAGAAGGGTAATTCCAGTCCTTTGAAGTCTCCACTTAGATGGGTTTGACAATATTTCAGTATGGCCATCTGGTCTTGTATTGTGTTATGTTCTTTACCGAGTGACAATAATGTATTACGGAGACCCTCTGGAATGGCCAGGACTAGCTACAGAATCGCAGGACCCCAGGCAAAATAAAAATGAGGCCCCTGGCTCAAAAAATTTAAAGATTTTTGAGATGATGATACTTGAGGATTTAATTAAGCACAGGGTCATGCTGAGGGTGGGGGGGCCTGTGTGACTACAGGACCTGGCCCTCGTTTTGGTTGTATAGACCCACCAAAACCTGGGAAACTACTTCTCTTCAACTAAGATCAGACTAATGGGAAAATGTGAGTTACAGAGTCAGATGAAGACATGAGAATGGTATTGCTTTTATTTCTAATAACAGAGAGGGAAGAAATGATGTAACACCATTAAGGAGTTGTTTCATTTTATAAATATTCACCGAGTGCCTCTTATATGCCCAATACTGTGGTAGGAGCTGAGGATACACTGGAAAACACAATAGACCATGCACTATTGTCCATACACTACCATACACTATGGTATGGTATGGTATGGTAGACCATACACTACCCATGTGGAAAACAGATAATAAATTAAAAAAAGGAATAAATAAATATCATTGATTATGGACTAGTGATGCCACATTGAAGCCACTAGACGGGGCCCTTATCGGGAAGGAAAGGACAGAGGATGTTACTTGTAGTGGTCAAGGAGGGCCTCCTTGTGGTGTTACCTAACATAAGGCTTTTGAGCACTGCATTTGGAGAGAAAGAGCGAATTCTAGCTCCTTCACTTACTAGTTACGGGATTTGGGGCAAAGTCACGTAACTGTCTTCTGCCTCAGTTTCCTTATGTAAAATGAGAATAACAATAGTATAAATCTTATAAGGTCATGTGAAAATTAAATTAAGTGAGTTAATTAGGTGCTGTTTTTCAAGTTAAAGGTAAATAATGGACTTTCCAGACAAGGAGGAATCATTCTTGCAGAGAGCTGTGAGGAGAATCCCTGGCTGAAGAAATAATAATTGGAAATGCTCTGGGGTATTTCAAGAACCAGCCAGAGGCCAGTGCAGGGTGTAGAGCACAGGAGAGACACAGGGCTATGGAAGGGAGCATGGGGGCGGGGGAAAGGGGCCAGATTTGGAATTAGAAAGCTAATTTCCTGCACAAAAGATAATGACTGATACCATTTCACATAACTTGTAAACCAAACAGACTCTTTTATTTGAATCAGAAAACATATCAGAAACAGCTAAAGCTAGCTGGCTTCCCATCTGTTTTCCTTTAATGGCTGACTGCAAATGATTTTTTCCAATGCATGAGTGGAACAGTCACCAAAAGAAATAACTTAGTAATACTGAAAAAAACACACCCAAGTCTCTGACACAGAGTGTTACATTCCTAATGCAACACAAAGGCCACCTGCAAAGCCTAAAACATAGGCTCCAATGCACTTCTAGGAATGACCATGAAGTTACTCTGCCATGTAAAGTTTTTTTTTTTTTTAAGATTTTATTTAGTTATTTGACAGACAGAGATCACAAGTAGGCAGAGAGGCAGGCAGAGAGAGAGAGGAAGGAAAGCAGGCACCCTGCTGAGCAGAGAGCCCGATGTGGGGCTCGATCCCAGGACCCAGAGACTATGACCCGAGCCGAAGGCAGAGGCTTAACCCACTGAGCCACCCAGGCGCCCCTGCCATGTAAAGTTTTGTCACCATTTTATTGTCCCCTCCTTCACATTCAGGTCACTGCCATCCACGGACACATACTTCTGCAGCCCATGTGACATAAACAGAGCAGAATCTCTTTACCAGATAAACCAACTTTGTTATCAATGATCAAAAGCTAGCCAAATTCCACATACCACTGATGGCTCGCATGTTTCATCAAAGAAGAAATCCAGGGAGAGAAAGAAAAGCCAAAACCCCAGAGGATAAGTTAAGAAAGAAGGAGATGGCATAAGGTCTCATAAACAACTCTACCTTGGGCAGCTAACTCTTTCCACCGTTCTTTGTTCTGCTGGATGATGTCCACCAGGTTGTTTTTGAAGCTCTGTAGGTCCACGCTTGTAAGGGAGTAGTCTGGGGAATAGGTTCCATCGTTCATGGTGCCTTTCATATTTGATCGTCTAAACAAATCAACGCTGTGAACAGAATAAAGGTGCTGAGGCTAATAATTACAAACAGAAAAAAAAAAAAAAAGCCCAGAAAACACCAAGGTCAAGATATGAAATGAGGGAGCAAAGCCTGAAACACTTTACAAAACCAACTGCAGACACAGAATGGCAGGTGTTCAGGCCCAGTGTGGAGCATGCATCAGGGATGCTCACGTCCCTCCTTTTTCCTCTCATGGAGAGGGCCGGGACTCTGGCTGGAAGTCCCTGTGTGGGTCAAGGGACTGCTCTGCTCAACCAGAGCAGCAGGTTGGAGCGCTCTTGCATCATGGGGTGGTGAGGCCCTGATTAGAACAGTGGAAACTTGAGGTGAGCTGACTCAGTGGAGAGTCCACTGGTGAACATTACTAAAGGGGCATCACAATTCTGGAGCCCTGAGGGGGGCTAATCTGAATCTTTCTCAGGTAGACCATTTCCTCAGTGCCCTCACTGGGGCAACATGTAGGAAGCCTGCTGATGTGCCATTAGCAAAAGTTGCATGTTCAGATGGGTAAGAATTTAGCATGATTAGTTTGCAACAGGAAGCTTTAAATAATATGCCTTAACAAATTTATCTATGAAAAATGCTCAGCTTGAAATCCTGTAAGTGATTGTATATATAATGGATGTTACTGTTACATGTTAGACGCAGCTGTTGTACCCACATCAGCTCTAAGCCTTCTTTTGGTATAGGCATCTCCCCAGATGTACAAGTGGGTTGTAACGGATTTGCTTGTAAGCAAACTGACACAACTATATATGTTAATATTCAAGGCATAATACATACATTTGCATGAAGATTGAGATATTTTCATTCTCCTGCGTATTGAATACTCTTATGTTATACTCCTCAGTTAGTAGTTTTATATATTTTGTAGCGGACATCAAGTAATTTCAAAGGCAGGTGCAATATCACATCTGCCACTAGGTGGCAATACTACCTAACAATTTTTTAAAGATGGCCTGCCCTGCTGTAAGACATAGTAGGATAATCTTAAGTGAAAGGTTATAAAACAGCACAAAGATTAAAAAAAAAAAAAAAAGATGCAATAAAGGAGAAAATATCAAACCTGCTTGCCCCATAGGAAGAAGTGTCTGTTTTTGAGGCTTCCTCTATAAGAGGAGTAATAATTTTCTCTGTTGAGTCTGTCAGAAGAGAAAATGTTGGCTCTACTATGAAATCAATGAAACCTACAAAAACAAACAAACAAAAGATAGTTTGAAATACTACATTTCTTGAATTCTAAAATCTGTAATAATGAAGAGTCTGATGCACCTGATAGTAATTATCAGCTACAATTCTGATTCGGTTTACCCCTTGCAATTATTTTTAATCCAAAAACATAATCTTTAGAGATAGTTTAATAGCTCTATAGCTCTAAAAAAATAATCTCCCAATAGTGGCAGTGATACAATTTTAAGCCCGATAACTCGTGTATATCGGCTTTCCTATTTAATACTCAGTTTTATACTCTTGTTAACAATTCAATTCTAACCAGAGTGAATATAATTTTCTCTCGTGAGAGGGATCATTACTTTTCTTAAAGATCTCCACTTGCTTGTTGAATTTATTACTCATTAACAAAAAATAATATCTAAGCTCCAAATAAACGAAATAACTGAAGTTTTTTTTCTCAGGCCACAGGAAGGCAACTGCTTTTTCCCCTCTTACTGTATCAGTCAGAGCTTTCTGCCAGTGTGTTAATATTTCAGATTGCTGTTTGTTATTCTCTGGATGTAAAGTGTTAGCTCACAGCATGTGGGTGTGTTCTGTCAAATCAGTGAAGATAACAGTAACATCTCTGGAAGACAGCATTATTCCCACTACCTTGAGTTGTCAGGATGAATAAAGACTTTAAAGTACTCATCGAGATAGAACATGACACACAGAGAGAAGGGGGCACTGTCCTCCAGGGAGCCCTACCCCCCTGGTGTTTAGGTGGAGGAGGAGACAACCTATTGTACACTCTGTATACACATACTTACTACGCGTCCCTGGAGAGGTGGGCCACTGGAAATCGAGCCTGTGGCCTCACACACACCTGCGAGCTATGGATGGTCATCTGAATATAAGAGGAAACTGGAAGGAGGCTTTTTAAGTGATACTGTGCCCAGAAATATCTACATTTGAAGATTACCCCATCCATCAGATACAAATAATTCACATTTCAAGTAATTGGATTAGTAATATTATGTATTAGGGTGCCTTTTTTTTTTTTTTTTAAAGAGGGAGAAACAGAATCCCAAGCAGGCTCCACTGGGCTGGAGTCCACAGGGGCTCAGTCTCACAACCCTGAAATCATGGCCCCAGCCAAAACCAAGAGCCGAACATGTAAATGAGCCCCCCAGGCACCCCTAAGGCGCATTTTTAACTCAAGAAAACTTCAATAGTTTTATATGTTGATTGATGCCTTCGACTCAAAGCAATGTTAATTGGCCACCAGTGTGCTACTTCCAGTTCTTTCTGTGGTTTTAAATGCCTGGGATATGGAGACTTGCAGATGATGTGTCACCTCCACTAACAGGGTAGCAATTTATATCATAGCAACAAGCCTCAGAAACTTCCCTTCTTTCCGGCTTGCCTGAGGTGGGGCTTAGCCTGCCACCCTCACACCTGCTAAACAATGGTAGGCACCTGTGTTAAGGTAGCTAGAAAAATAGCTTTTGGAATTTGGATGGGAAGGGGCAAAGGTCAGAGCAAGAAGGTTTCTGACAGTTGACCGGGGCTTTGTAGGACTTGGTGCTGAAGCAGCTAGAGAGGTTAGGCGGCAATCCTTATGTTTATTAATCTTACAGTTCAGTAATGAAGATGCTGACTCTGGGAATAACTATTACAATATTTGGACCAGGCATCATAGCTACATAGTTTTAATAATGGGCTGAACTTGCTGGGTCATCTACTTATATCAAAAGAATTTTTTTTCTGAAGGAATATAAGCTATTATATGAAATATATATTACAAACTTAGTGATAACAACACAGATATACTAATATTTTCATTGAATTTTCCTACACACAAAGGATTAAATTACAGATTACAATCGTCAGGAACAAAACACAAAAAATGTTGTCTCTTACACAAGAAGAAAGTCCATTATTTGTAAAAGGGTTACAAATCAAGTAACAATTACATTTACTGATACTGCTTGACTGATTCGTTTTGTGAGACCTTTTTCAAAAGTCTTATCATTTAGCACCATACAGATCCGTCTAAAGATCAAATTTATTATGAATAAGAAGTGAGGTTTTCATGGTTGTTGCCCTTTTGACAACATGGTTTATCATTTGAAAACTGGCTCGCACCCACCCACCCTCCATAACCATTATTCTTAAGCAGTACCTATTTGTGACTGGGCCACCATCGTTGACTTCCGATCACAAAGTGGGGAAAATGGAAGTCCTAATTCGGCTTCTTTATCTCCCTGTGAAATGAAAGCTCATTAGTACAGACTTGGGTTGGAGATGCTTAGATAATGAGCAGTCTAGATACAAAGTCTAAAAAAAGCCACAGCTTTATTGTAATTGGCACTGTGTTTTTATTTAATTTTTATAAAAGCAAAGGGATAGTCCAAGTTGATGTAATTTTACTCAGTCTCCTTTTGAGCACATAATATGTTGGTGAAGGGAAAAAAATGAGCATTTTCAGCACGTGGAGACGCTGCTTTGGCATCACAACCCTGTTACTGTGAAGAGACAAACCTTTGCTCTTTGGAAATTTCCGCACTTGCCAGAAAATAGTCATCTCTGTGTGTTATTTGGCATTTAATTAACAATCAAGCTCGTGGATTTTCATGCCTTTTTTCTCCCCCGAAGCCAAGTACGTCACAGATCTTCAGTATAAAGACTTCATGATTGTACCGCTTTTTGAAATTAAAAGTATATAAACATATTGAAACTTCTTTCCACTTATTAACCAATTTTAATTGAATCTTCCACAGCAAATAGTGAAGAATATCTTCAACATTCTTACATTCCGTGTGCGTCATTTTATTTTATTGTATTCTCAGAAAATTGAAATGTCAATGATTTTTATTATTTGATCTTACCTATGGTAGGTTAATTGAGCACATATATTAAAGAATTCCATTTATGTTTGGGTTCAACATCACAAGAACTAATTCAGTTTTCATCTCCTAAAATAAAGGTGGCTGCTCTGGGCAAAACGTTCTCTTCACAAGGTTTATCAGACATCAAACATAGGTTCTTTCCTATGCATTCAAGGGTATGTGCTTAAAAAAGAAAGCTACTTCACTTGTTTCTCTTCACTTCAATTTTCTGGTATTTGAAAGAATGCCTCAGACTCTATTTTCTCCTAAGCTATTGGTTGTATATCTTCATGGACTCCACTGGCTTTGTGTAAGATCACAATTTAGGACACACGGTCAGGTTCTGAAATCAGAAGACAAAAGGGAGGGGCCTTCACTTTTGCTTTGCTGTGGAGCCCACATAACAATGGCGTGCCTGTCTGAGGAATTCCGAGTTCCCACTCGCTCTGTGTCCTTGAACAACTTTCCTCATGATCTTTACAACATCACGTCAGTATGTTTTATGGGCTTTACAATTTTTCATTGACAATGTTGTCTGGTGCACCTCCTCTAAACCATGCCTCTGATTATGAGGAGCAGAAAGTTTGAAATCAGAATTGTTTGGAGGAAAATCTAGATATGGTCAGCAGAGAAGTAGGCAAAGTAGTTGCAAATGGCTATATTTTATCATGGCATGACTTAGAGAAAATAGGGAGTAGAATTTCCATGACCTCCTTCAGCAGCTGTGCTCCTTCCTTAGAGGATAACAACACCCATTCCATTTGGAATTAATATTAACATCCAGCTTAAGGGAAAGAGGACAAGGAATTATTAGTGCCATCAGCATTGGAACTACAAGATACACATTTGAATCCCTGCTGTTTGACGGTTTCTCTCTGTTACTTCAGATGTATCACAACCTTTGCTAAAATGAATTCTCCTCATATGTTACCTCACTTGGTAATTGTGGTTAACTCCTATCAGGAATGAAGATATCCTAGTATCTACCTAGTAGGATTATCGTCTAGTTATCTAAGTTATGTGAAGCCTAATAGTTGGAAAATAGTCATTAAATATTAGCAAATAAGAACCATACTTCGTATTGGTGAAGAGGTTTGAGAGTACACTACCCGTGATGAGGAGTGAGTACTGCACAGAATTGTTGAATCACTATATTGTACACCTGAAGATAATATAACATCGTATGTTAAATCTACTGGGACTAAAATTTTAAAAAAGAACCATACTTCATCATAGCAAAGATACAGAGCTGTGAGGTATTTATGATGTCTAATGGATGGTGTTAAACCACAGGAAAAAGGATTGGTACTTAATCGAGCATGTGGCAGAGAGGCATTTCCTGCCATCCCCCTACCCTCCGTTTTCTAGCAGGGAATGGACCTGACAGGAGTTCTGCTTTTGAAAGATTGATTTGTCAGCCGTGTGGGGGATGATGAGAAGTGAATTGAAGATGACTCTTGGCTTCACACCTTAATGAATAGGAGTCTTTGGTGCCACGAATAGAAGTGAGACAATATGAATGAGGGCTGGATTTGAAAACTATTATGGATTTGATTTTTAGCATATTGAGAATAAGGTACAAGAATAACATTGCTGTTCATGTTAAAATATAAATAATTTAGTGTTAAAATAGAAATAAATCTCCTCATGGACTTGGTGTGAAATGTGATATTGGAGATACTTATCTGATCTATGTGGGTACAACTGATTGGCTTTATTGATCAGGGGGCTGCTGTTTGGTATTTAATAGCTATATTTTTATACTATATGACAGAAGTTCTTTGTTCTAAAAATGATAATTTGGGCCTGAAGAAGACATTGTGATGAATTACCTTCCATGAGCTAAATTTTATAGAATGTTAGATGGAAACATTCTCATATAGGACTTAGGCATTTGACAGATATATGTAGGATTCCCCTTCCTATATTTGGAGTGAAAATTTTATATTCTATTTGCTTCTTATATTCCACAATGGAATTGGGATATTAAATTTCCACTGCTAAAGCAAACTGAATGCTAAAGCACATTATTTAATTTATTTATAAATATTTAAAATGTTATCCTGTAGGGTGAATTAAAGGCCATAAGTGCAGGATTAGTAGGGGGCCTTACAGCCAGACTCAGAAGGCCCATAAACAAAATAGGACAAGGAGGGGGGTAAGATATGTAAAGGAGAGGGAAAGATATGTAAAGAGAAAGCTGGATTCCCTGAGTATAAATTTGACAAACTTTGTAATTTTCCTCTTTGTATCCCCGAATAGGGAACATTTACTTTCCATCAAGATGATGGGGGTCTGGGGTCAGGGCAATAGGCACTGCAAAAGTCAACTAGTTTTTCCTGGAAGATGTACTTTCATTTGAGGGCACTGCCTTCAGGAGGCCAAAAATGTACTTTCAAAAAAATCAGTAAAATACTGCATATACGTATATTTTGGTACATTGACTTTTACAGTGATTGGAGCAAAAATATAGGGCCCTAAGGCCACCAAACTCAATGAATTAATCAACGCCCCTCATTGCTGCTCCTGGATCCCCGCTTCTGTTCCTGGGGATGAGTCTGCAGGCAGGGAAGGGGAGAAACCCTGAGTGACCCCAGCAACATGGAAACCCCAGGCAGCCTGCAGTGCTCGGGCTCCTGCCTGTCTTGGCGATTCCCTTGGAGGTTGTTGAGGTTTCTTCTCTGAAAGGCCGCAACAAAGACCGATAATTATTTTTATGCTTTCCTAACAGTGTGAAATGCTCTGATCACTGTCAACAGGATGTCAACTCCATGACTTACTAGCACCTTTTTTTCTTTTCTGCATTTTATCTGAAGCCAAAGCAATTTCTATAGCTTTCAAGAATTGAAGGAGATAGAAAAGGGTGAAGCATAGAAATCCTGAGAAACCTTTTGCATTGAAACCTAAGTTTTTTTTTTAAAGATTTTTATTTATTTGACAGACAGATCACAAGTGGCAGAGAGGCAGGCAGAGAGAGAGAGGAGGAGGAGGCAGGCTCCCTGCTGAGCAGAGAGCCCGATGTGAGGCTCGATCCCAGGACCCTGGGATCATGACCTGAGCCGAAGGCAGAGGCTTTAAGCACTGAGCCACCCAGGAGCCCCGAAACGTAAGTTTTAATCACAGAAGCCATACCACCAATAAACATACAGGAAGCTCCTGACCGTAGACCTGGGGGCCACCCTAAGGTCAAGGGTGAATTCTAGGGGCCACTAATTCTATAGGGGAATTTAACGGAGGAGAGGGGAAGAAGCAATAGTTTAGTCCTCTTGGGACAACTTACTTAAGGGATTTAAGCCACCTACTTACCTTCTTTCCTTCTAAAAATGGTCCTTCTAAATTCTAGAAAGCCACCAAAGCTATCTAAAAATTTCATAATTATTACAGCTAACATATTCACTTTCAACAAAATTTATGATATGGTATAAATGTATTTTGTGAGTTAAATTTTGTAGAACATTAGTACCCCTCATATAATACTTGCATGTTTCTTAAAACTATGAGATTTGATTTTTACATTTAAAGTTATTATCCTGGCTCATAGCAAGTGTTCTTTATAGTGATGAGGTTTTTTTGGTTGTGTCTGAATTTTTGATCCCAAGATCCTTGGCTGAGAATGCACTAACTAAATACATTTTTATTACTGTGGAAAATACAATCTATTTTGAAATGACACACTTTATACTACTTCTAGTAATGCTGAAGAACATAAGGGGCCTGACGATATACAATTTAAAATAAATAAATAAAATAATTATTTTTCCTTCCCTCTCCAAAAAATTGCATTCCCAATCATTTGTTTGACAAGGTAATACTTATTGGTAAATGGAGATTTTACATAAATGTCATTTTTTAAAATGTGTCACAAAACAACTAGTTGAAAAAGAGAAAATTCACTTAGTTATTAGGTTCATATAGTATGACACATGAACAAATGTTAACGGCAGGAAGTAGTTCTTTTAACTTTATTTGTAGTAATTCCTTATTATCTTGCCAAACTAATATGTCTGCTTAAGGAGAGAATAAAAAGCAAAAACCTGTCTTCCTGTACTAATGCTTTTTCCTGGGCCAGTCCCTCCACCTCTGATCTCTGTCACATCAGTCATAGTTGAAATGAAAGAAGCATCTCTCGAATTCACACATTACAGTCAGAACGTAGAGGCACCTGTGTTGATCTACATCAACACTCGAGGAGAGGACATTAGCTCTATTGACGAATATCACAATCATGCTGTGAAACATGCTTTGGAGATGAGGACCTGCTTTATTGTCAGTTGCTTACTGAAGATGGAAATAGGTTTCTCAAGGCTGCAAAATCTAGATACAATTCTGATCGTCTCAGGCTACAGTTTCTCATGGATTTAGAAGGTACACTTAAA